ATCATCATCATCATCATCATCATCATCATCATCATCATCATCATCATCATCATCATCATCATCATCATCACCATCACCATCACCATCACCATCACCATCACCATCACCATCACCATCATCATCATCATCAGCAGCATCATCATCATCAGGTTCATCATTATCAGCAGCATCATCATCATCAGCATCATCTTCATCATCATCATCAGCATCATGATCGTCATTATCATCATTATCCTCTCCTTTCCGACCCCACGACGGAACAGTTTTGGCTCAAATCACCATGTCATCCTGTGGCCGTATGGCGACCGCTGAGCCGCGGCCAGCTTCCGATATCTTGCCGCTACAGCGACGGGTGTGCGACCACACGCGTCTCTCAGTATTCGCCTCGCTTCTGTCCCTGACGGTGCGGGCACTTTCTATTACGGTCCCGCTTATGATTAAGAAGCCTCCCCCCGAAAAGCTTGCCCAGCGTTTCTTAACCAACTTGCCGGAAAGCTGGCTCAGTTTCTTAAGGGGATTGGTGGCCTTGGGTCCTAGAAATGAATAGTGTACGTTCCTGGCTCCACAAGTTGGCCCAGCGCTTCCTTAGGAGACTTCTGAAAAAGCTGGCCCAGCTTTCTTAATTGATAATGTTTCGTAGTTTGGGCTGTATGGCAGTCGGCCTCGTCCTGCAGTTCGAGCGTGAGTTCTTCAGTGGCGTAGCCGAGGATTGGGCAGTCCCGTGACAGCTATGGCAGCTCAATGCTTTGAACTCCAGCAAGCGTGGTGACGAAAAGATGCGCAGCGCCGACAGTGACGGCTTTGTCTCCCCTCCTGAGCGAAGTGCCTCGCGGAGTGGAGGCGACCGTCCTCGGCGGCGAGGATGGGTTACAAACTACCACAAGCATCCTGTACGCACGCGGCGCAGCGGCCGCGGACATCGCGATGGTTCTGATGCCCAATCCCGAGTTGAGCGACCAGATGCACGTCATCACGAGCCCGCCGTGATGGTTGAGCTTCTGGCCGAACGAGAGGGTATCCAATCGCGACTTGCACGTGACGGGGGCGGCATTGGAGGATTTGCCGATGCTGCAGCACCTGTACGCGTTCCTGGAGGGCCCGCAGGTCCCCGTCTTCCGCCTGGAGAGCAGCTGGCTGAACTCATCGATGCTGTACCAACAATTCCTTCACACGAAGGAGTCTTTCCTTCACAAGAAGGAGATGTTCACATTGCAGTCTCATCTTCGCCCGCTGCCGCGCCACTTGCAGCTGCCCCAGCCGCGCATGAAGCAGTGCTTCCTGGCCCACTGGAAGCCGCAGACCCGTGGCAAGCAGCGGGGGGGCTTCGGGGTGCAGCTCGCCGTTGGCAGTCGGCGGGGGCAGCCCAAGCCCAAGCGGCTCCATCCCTTCCTGCGCCAGGGCGCCATCATCGGGGCGCAGGAGGTCCATGGGGCCAGGCAGCGGCCCCAACGCCAGATCAACCTCACCTCCTACTCGTTTTCGACGTCTCTATTTTCCCAGCGGCAATCCTCGCTCTGGCGGCGTTCCCACGCATTTCCCATGGCGACGGCGCGTCGACTTTGTCGACCTTGCTGAGGTGTCGGTGTGGGGCGGGGGTGGGGGTGCGCGCGTGCGCGGTGGTTGTGGTGGTGGTGGTGGTGGTGCTGCTGCTGCTGCTGGTGTTGGTGTTGGGGCGGGTGGGTGGGGGGGTGGTGGGTGGGTGGGGGTGGGTGGGTGGTGGGTTGGTGGGTGGGTGGGTGGGTGGATGGGTGGGTGGGTGGGTGAGTGGGTGGTTGTGGTGGTGGTGGTGTGCGCGTGGGGCTGCGTGCGTGTGTGTGTGTGCGTGTGCGTGTGTGTGGACAGGCTGGCCAATCCGCCGGGGCAGTCACCGTCTGCCCAGCCGCTGTCGAAAAAAAGTGTGGACAGGCTGGGGGCGCTATGAAGTGGCCCTTCTACGTTTGCGGTTTCGTCACTGGCGAGTTCCCATCGTCAGAGACCTCTACGCCGTCATGTTTGAACCCATCAGGCGTTGCCTCTTCGGATTGGTCATGGCTCGAGAAACTTGGCGAAAGCGTTCGCCGGCATCAGCAGATTGAGGTGGTCAGCGATCTGCCTGTTGTCCCCTGGCCGAACACGCAAATGTCTGCTCACCTACCTCCTCGTGATAGGGCAGCGGAGATCACGGACGTCGTCGTGCGCATCTCCTGGCAGTGGCTCCTGAGTGCCACCTACCAGTGCGAGGCGCTGGACGACTTGGACCAGCGGTTGTCTCGGCGCATTCCATTCGCGCAAACCCAGCTCGGCGCGCGAGACTTTGATACCATGTTCGAAGAACGCCAAGTATGGCACTTACAGCGGGCTGCGCCAGCGCTGCTCGGAGGACATGCGTCGGGCGCTCGGTCGAGAGCCGCGACTGTCCGCGATGCCAGCGCTGCGAGGTTGCATCGCGATGCGCTTCAGGAGCCAGAGCGAGGTGCGGAGCTGGCTCGGCGTCGCCGCCTCTGCAAGCAGCTTCGCAGTCGGGCGCCCACTGCGTTGCCTTCTTCCAGCGCTTCCCTGCGTTCCCTGAGGATAAGTTGATGCTGGTGCGAGGGCTATATACCTGTGTTCCATCTCGCCCCCGCTGCGCGCGCCCCCGAACGTCCTTCGGGGCCGCTTTGACTGCGTGCATCTGCTCCAGTTCTCAGCCCCCGACCACGCGCGGCGAGGGCTGGCCGCGGCGCATGGGTAGGGCGCCATATGTCAGCTTCGAGGGGGATGGAAGGAGCTGGGCACCTTCGCCCCCGTCGCAGTTATCGGGCTGTCCTTCGCGGCATCCACGACCTCGAGCTGGGCTCAGCGCGAAGGAAGGGCGACGTTCATTCCATCGCGCTTCCGCTGCGCTCGCTCCCGAAGTTCCTTCTGGGCCACCAGCGCCGCCCAGTTCTTCGCCGGCAGATCTCGGCCACCTGCCGCGCGCGGCGAGGGCAGATCGTGGCGGCCTCGCGGGGGGCGAGAGGAGCTGGGCACCTTCGCCCCCGTCGCGTCTCTCGCGCTGTCCTCCTCAACGTCTGCGACCTCGGGCTGGGCGCGGCCTTAAGGAAGGACTGCTTGTGCTCCGGCATGCCCTGGGTGCGTTCGGCCCCAGAGCTTCTGCCGCGGCCCCCAGCTTCGCGCGGCGAGGGCAGATCACGGCGACGGGGCAGTGGCCTTAGATGTCAGCCCCGCCAGGAATGGGGCGAGCCAGGCCCCCCCGCCCCCGTCGCGTCATCGGCCCCGGCAGGTTCCGCGCCGCGAGCGCCCCAGACGCATCGCCCCGCCATCCTTGGGCGAGCGCGGATCATCAAGCATTTCGCCGGCAGGGCCCGCGCGGCCGTCTTCCCCACTACCCGCAACTGCGAGCTGGGCGCGGCGCGCTGGAACGCCCCGCGCAGCACCTGGCGGCGTTGCAAGCGGTGGGCCTGCACGGCGCCAGCGCAAGGCATCTGTCTAGCCATCGGCGACTTCGAGATCCGCGGCGAGCCCCTTCGCCGAGCTCGCGGCCCTTGGCGATGAGCAGCGTCGAAGGCGACCAGCATCGCCAGACTTCCTGGCGACGGCTTTCTCAGCGTTGAAGGAGATCAGCAGCAGCCAGCCGAAGCGATGTGATGGGCGTGCGCGGTCACGCTCATGCCCGAACCCCCATGCAGGCGGCGTGACATTCCCGCCGGGCCTGCGGCGCTCGGCGACCAGAGGCTGAGTGGCCGCGATTCTCGCGCCCCCCATCGGCATGGGGACCCCGAGGAAGAGGGGGGCCCGCCGATTCCAGAGTCTCTCTTCAAGCAGCAGCTTGACAGGCATATTGCCACGCGCCCCCTGGCGCATTCGAATCTCGAGCGAACTTCGCCAGCTGGCGCATTGGGGGGCCGCGCGCGTGATGATGTGGGCCGCGCGTCCCGCGCCCAACTTTTCCACTCGGCTCCCTGGGGGCCGCTTGCGCAGGGCCGCTGGTGAATGCAGATTGCCCGCGCGTCGGTCGCTCTCGCGCGCGGAGCCGGGTGGGCCCCTCGCGGCCGCGCTCATCAGCTCTGCGGAGTCTGGCCAGGCTGCGCCACGCATCGATGATGACATCGTCATCTGTTCTCGACGAGGTTCAGTTTGCCGAGGACTCGAGGCGCGCCCGCCATCAACGCCTACGGCAGCAGTGAGGGCGAGCCGCAGCCGCTGCCGCGCGCGCGCGGCAGGCTGGGCGCGGGTCGAGGCCGAACGTCGGCAGCGACGGGCAGGCATCGCGCAGGAGCGCAGTCGAGCATGGGCGCCCTTCTCGCGAGTTCGTCTCCGGGGCGGGGTACTTATTGTCATGCGCCCTCAGGCGATTGTTGAGGCGTTCCAGCGGCGCTGGCCTCCACTTGTTGCCCGCGGAGAGGTGGGCGCGGATGGCCCCCGCATCTGCGCGCGGCAGTTTCCCCCCCCCGCCCCCTCGGGCGCGGCGCCGGCGCGCCCCGCCATCCTCTCGGCCAGGGCGACGAATCGCGCGGCGTTGATGGACGGCGCGGGCGTTGGCGCCAGGTCCCGATCTGCTTCCTTGCCGCGCCCTGGCCGAGATTTCCGGCGCGCCGGGGGCGCCGGGGGATCTCGCGCGGACCTCCTGCGAAACGGGGCAGGCGCCGCCCGCCTTCAACGGTTTGATCTTCTCTTCAATTCCATGGGCTCCGAGGGCGGGGGCCGTCGCGCGCGCGAGAGGGGGGGCGGGCTTGCGCCCGATCACCCGCGGGAGCCCTGACTCTAAGATTTTCGCGCCGGCCCGCGACCAGCTGGCGCGGGGGCAGGTCGAGGGGCGCGCGCGGGCGCCGCGTTCAGCAAGGCTCCGTTCCGAACGGAGCCATGGGCGCATCAAAATTGCGTTAACATTGCATCCTCGGGCGCGCCTGGGCGAGTGTCGGGCGGGCGCCCTGCAGCGGCGGAGCTGAGCCTTGTGCTGCCGCGGTTTGGCGCGCGGCGGCCTTCCCGTCGCTGGGGCGCAGTGGCTGTTCGAGGCGCTCCGCCAGTGCTAGCGTGGACAGGGCGCCCCCGACGCCGTCGCGGCGCTCTGCGGCCTGTCGATCGGCCGCGCCATTCTTGATTGCCGATGCGACAACGCCCGCGCAATCGAGTCGGGAGTCGCACGTGGATGCCCGCGCTCGGGCGCCGCCATGGACATCGCCATTCGCGCCGCCCACAATGGCGCGGCGGCGGCCTGCGCTGGCGACCCTGGCACTCACCCGCAGCGGATGCAGCTCCTTATTCCGTTGGCAGACGTCTTTGGCAGCGCAGCCGTCCGCGGAAACACTTGTGTCTCAGCGCGAAGAAGCGCGTTCCGATCCCGCGGGGGGTGGGGGGGGCGAGTTGACGGGCCGCGTTCGCAGCGAAGTGAGAGCTTGTCTGAGCCAGTGCCCCTCGGATTCGGTGAACTTCGAGATCGCCGCGGGGGGGCTCCACCCGGGGGCGCGCGGGCCCAGGGGCGGGCGACCGCCTGCAGAGGGCCGCCGCGGGCAGCAAGCGGCGGCAGCGCGTCACCGCCGCAGGCGGCTCGGCCGCGCCAGTCGATGCGAATGCGCGATTCCGCCGGGCGTCTGCGACGGGGGCGGCGCGCCAAATGGCGCAGTTCTCGGGCCACCGCAGCCCATTCGGCGCGAGGAGTTTTACATCGCCCACAGGGGCCTGTTAATGCCGCCCAGCACCTTTCGCGCTGTTGACGTGCATTCGCTGAGCAAATGGATGAGCGGACCGTCTCCGGAGTCGCTGCGCGCGAACTCCCTTGGAACGCCCTGGATGGCAGCGTCCTGCGCCGCGACGCAGTGGCGGCCTCTTTGCGATATGTTACGCGAGCTTGCTGGCCAGGTCGGCGGGCTCGCACCCCTTGCCCAATAATCTTGGCCGCCTCCTTCAAGCGGTCCACCGCGCGGCGCTGCAAGGCGATCGCGAGGGGCGCCGCTGGCAGCGCCCCTGCGAAGAGGTCTTTTGATTTGGCCCGCGCAGCTGCGATTGCGCGTCGAGCTGCGCGCGATGCCGAAACAGAGAGCAGCAAACCAAGTCCATGACGCCACCTTATCAGCGCGCTGGACTTCCGCTGGATGATAGACAGCTTCGAGGCGGCGATCAGGAAGTGGCTCCTGGCGCGGCATGGCGAAGAGGCGGCGCCCCCATGCCGCCGCAAGAGGTGCGTCTGGCTCAAGCTCTTCCTGGGCCAGGTGGCCCCTGCGCGGCGCTGGGTGTCGCTGTGCGCGCTGGAGGACGGCTGGCGCGCAAGCGCCAGAATGCGTGTCATTCCAATGAAGAGCGTTGCATGCTGGGCTGCCCTGAGCAATCAAGTTCGGTCGGCCGCTACATGCAGTGCGACAGGTTGATCCACCTGACCAGCCTGCCGCGCACCTTCTCACAGAGCTCGACCGCGACGCGGCTGGGCCTCGGCGACAGCTACTACGCTGGTGGAAAGGCCTTGCTGTTGTTGACTATCCAGCGCCTCGTGCCAAGCTACCACATCAACCTCGCGCTCAAGAGCGCGGTGGCCGACCGCTCCGGCACCGGCGCGCCCGCGGGTCGCGCGCCGCGCTGGATCGGATCCACCTAATGCGGCGACGAGAGCTTCTCGATGCCCCCCCCCCCCCCCCCCTCGGCGGCCATTGGGCGCCCGGGGGCTTTTTCTGCTTGAAGGGGGCCGCGCGGGCCATTCGGCGCGCTGACTTCAGGGAAGCCCCGCGCGCCAGAGTGGATCGTTGCCGGGCCAATCCTCGCAGCAGGGGCAGGGCGGGAAGTGGAAGCGCGCATCCAAGAACGTCGCGGGCAGCAGTTTCGGTTGGAAGCGCTGGGCGGCGAGATCCGCTGCCGCGGGCCATCAGCCAGAGACCAAGCAGCGGCGGGAGAAGGTGACCGTGACCAGAGAGACGAGCAGCGCGCCCGCCCGCAGCGCCGGCGCCCGCGCTCCAATCTGGCCGAGCTCAAGCAGCTCGCCGCAGACTCCGCCATAGAAGACACTTCCTTGCTGCCGGCGGCCTCGCCCCTGGAGCGCGTCGGCCATGCCCGGGCGACGCTGGAAGTCTGGGCGCCGCGATGTTTCGCCGAGCGCCGCGTTGCGCGGGGCCGCTGGCGGGCGGCAGAGCAGCGCCGCAAGCGCAGATGCCGAGCTGAAGAGCTGCGCGCCGAGCTGGCCAAAGCGCGGGGGGAGCTGCGGACCGAGCGCCGACCTCCAGCGCCGCGAGAAGACGGCGGATGGCCCTGCCCAGAGGACCAACGACCTGTCGGCCAGCGCCTGACAGAGGCTGGGCAGCGGCCGCGGCCTTCCGAGGGCAGGCGGCCACTCGCCCCAGGAGGGGCGCTGCGGGGGGGGGGGGGGGGCGCCGCGCGGGGCGGGGGCCGAAGCTCGAGGGCGCCCTCGCGCGCGCCCCGCGGCCACAGGCCGCCGAGAAGGAGCGGGCGAGCGCGAGAAACGCCGCGTGGACGCCGCGCCCAGGAAGGGGGGTCTCCTGGAGTTCGAGGCGCACAGCTCAGAGGAGACCATCGCCAAGATGCTCGCCAACGACGGCGTCGATCCTGAGCAGGCTGCTGAGGTTGCTGCATCAATCAAGCCGCCGTGCGACGGCCTGGGATCGGCCGCGCCATCGCCGCCTGCAGTGCCCAGTGGATCCCCAATCGAGGGTGGCACGGTGAGGGGGGCGACCCAGGCTTTCCCCACGGTGGGCACCAACGCGGCTGGCGCATTTGGGCGCGTCATAAACGATGTCCACAAAGCCGCCCATGCGCTGATCATCCAGGCGCAGGAGTTGCAGGCGAGTCAGGCTGACCTCGGCATGTCCGTCGCGGGCGTGATTGAGCGAGGTTGGCGCATTAGGCTCGCGCCATGTGCGAACGCGACCAGCGGGCGGGGGGCAGGGGCGTTGGCCGCCACGACCAGTTGTCGGGAGATTGATTACGCCAGGAGTGGCAGCGGCACGCGGGGCATATCCCAGCCGCGCAGCCAAGGGCGCTCTCGCTAAACGCAGTGAAGATGCATCAAATTACCCGCGGCTTAGTGCTTCTGTGGCGCGCGGGAGGCATGGCGCGCCGCGGCGAGCTGAGCCTGCAGAAGTGGGCCAGCGTAGCGATGGCGGCCCAGTGCGATTGGATTCCAGGCGGGGGCCTCAACCCGCCGTCCCGCGTGCTTCGGGGCTGCAGAGCAAGATGGGCGGGGCCATCGTCTACGGCCAGCAGAAGGGCGCGTGCGAACGTGGCGACGGCACTCGCTCCGTCAGGGACTACATCGTCGCCTCCAAGAGCTTGATCGTCGCCCACGGAGGCGCGAATGCAGGAGGGCTACGACGTCAGCCCGCGCCTGCCCGCCATGCTTACCATCAGCTGGCAGCGCCGCGAGGATCGGATTATCTTCGCGCTGCAGAGGCCCTGGAGATGGCCGCGGGCGCTACTCGCGGGCCGCCCAGGGCAGCCAGTGAGGTGGCCGAGACCGCCGGCACAACATCGGCTACGCGGACTGGCAGCTACAGACGAGCACGGAAGCGTGCTGGGGGGGGCCTGCGGGTCGCACACCAACCGCTTCTTTCAATTCCGACGGGAACGACGAGTGGCTGGCGCACAGGCTGAGGTGCACCCGCAGGCTGATCGAGTGGTGGCGCAGGGGAACATGAGGTGAACAAAACAAGGGATGTTCGTGAAGGCGGAGCGGCAGGACGAGGAGGGGGGTCAGTTGCTGCCGTCAGAGGGAGGCGGAAGTGGTAGAGGGCTTCCGCGAGGGAAGGCGGAAGTGGTAGAGAGCCGCCTCGCGGCTACCCTGCGGGCCAGCGGTTGTCGCGGGGCGCCGCCAGGTGGCCCGAGGTGGTCTACGCAGTCGGCGGCGTCGACATCGACGCGGTAAATGATGGGGAGGTGCGCGCTGCACCGACTACGTCGCGGCATTGATGGACCTGGCCAGTCTGCGCAGCTGACGGACGGCGCAGCGGGCCTCTGCGGCGATCTGGAGGCAGCGGGTCCGCACCCACGGCCAGAAGGGCGCGGGCGAGCCACCGCAGCCAACGGGGCCCTGCGCGACTGCCAGGCGCATCCTCAGGCGGCGGCTGACGAAGCCCCGGCAGGCTGGAAGGCGATCCTGGGGGGGCGAGCTGGGCGAGCACGTGCCCTGGCTGGGGGCCCCCTCGGACATCGAACTGGCGGAGTGCCGCCCGCCGCCCATCGCGCCCCAGCAGGCGGTCGAGAGCTCGGGGGGCTTCTGCGCCAAGACAGGCCTTGGGGGGTCGGACTGGCACCCGGGAATGCGGCAGCGCGGAGGATACCATGCGCGGGGCAGCGCGCGAGGCAAGCCCGCTGAATGCGGCGGAGGCGGGCCCCCCACCCAGGCCACCATCCTCTTCTACCTCCTCGCCAAGCTCACCGGTGGGCCGTCAGGGGCAGATGACTGGGCCTATGACTGGGCCGTCAGGGGCAGATCGAGCGAGAGGGCCGCGCGTGTGCAGGCGTGCATTGGGGCCACCGTGGCAAAGGACCTCGCGCATGCGGTGGCGCACTTCGACCTGGCCAAGTGCTTCGACGACGCGGCGCGCTCAATGTCGTGTCACGCGGGCTCCACCGGGGCTTCGATCGCGTCATCCTGGGGGGCATGTGGGGGAGCTACACGATGGCAAGGCGCATCGTCCTGGACGGTAGCTCCACCGTGGGCGCGCGCTGGGCCAGAGGCAATGTCGCGGGAAGCCGCTTCGCGCCCGTCTGCCTCGAGATGGTCATATTCGCAGCGCTGGGCGGGGCGGCGGCGGCCTTCCCCTGGGCCGACGCGCGCTTGTCTTTCGACGACCTGGCGGTGGCGACGAAATGGGTCGGGGAGTTTGCAAGGCGCTGGCGCCCGATGCTCCTCCAGACGCGGATCTGCATGTTTGAAGTGGCCCTGGCCACGGTGGCACCCAAGGGCGAGCAGGGGGGGGGCGGTCGCGATGCCTTCCGCCGCCCTGTTGGAGGACGAGCTCACCGGGCGCATCTGCCCCCTGGTGTTGCGCATGGTCAAGAAGGAGAAGCACCTGGGCGCCACCGCGGCCGCGGGCGACGGCGACGGGCGGGCGCGGCCAGCAAGAGGGCAGCCAAGTTCGCAGCCAGAACCGCATCGCGCGCGCCAGTCGCGAGGGAGGCCCGCTTGCAGGATCGCGCGCCAGGCCAAGATCCCATCGCTCTTCTACGGCGCGCAGGTCATGGGCATGGCGGAAACCAACCTCGGCGAGTTGCGACAGTCTGTCGCGACCTCGCTGCCGGTGGGTGCTACAAGTGGGGCGTGCCAGGCCCCCGCGGCAGCAAGCGCGGGGCCCCGCGGGTGCTTTTGCGGCGGCGGGCGGCGCGGAGGCGGGGCCGACGGCGCAGGCGGCGCGCTCCATCGCCGTTGGCAGCGACGCGCTGGACTTGAGGGCCGCCCCGCTGCACGCCCTCAAGCACATGCGCCCAGCGCGCCACCGAGCAGGGCCGCAAAGAAGCGTGGCTGGCGAAGTGGGGCGAGGGTTCGGCCTGCGGTCCGCGTTCGCGGAGCTGGCGCGCGACCTCCGCCGGCGCCCCTCGCGCGGGCGCGGAGCGCGGTCGCGCTGGGCGGAGGCGCTGGGCGAAAGGGGGGGATTGGGAAAGGGGGGGGTACGAAATTTGCTGCATGCAGCTGGTTTCGGCCTCACCGAGGGGCCCATTCCTCGATACATGGGCGCCTCCGGCGCCGGGAGGCGCCGGGAAAATCAGCTACGCGAGCTGATTCTCAACCCCCCCCCCTTTGCTATCCCCCCCTTTCGCCCGACCCGAGGGGGGGCGCTGGGCCGCAGCTGCACCTTTTCCGGGAAGGCGCGGCGGAGGCCACCAGGGGGCCCACACCAGGGAGCCACCAGCTCCTCCTCCCTCCTCCTCTCCTCCTCTCCTCTCCCCTCCTCCCTCCTCCTCCTCCTCCTCTCCTCCTCCTCCTCCTCCTCCTCCTCCTCCTCCTCTCCTCCTCCTCCTCCTCCTCCTCCTATACCTCCTCCTCCTCCTCCTCCTCCTGCTCCTTCTCCTCTTCTTTCTTCCCCTCCTCTTCCTCCTCCAGAGCATCGAGGCCGGGAAGGCGCGGCGGAGGGCGACATTTGCAATCGCTGCCACGGGGCGCGAAGGGCCGGCCGCCGTCGGACCTTCGAGCGCCCCGTGCGCGAGGCTCACCGCCGAGCGGTGGGAGACAGTGTTAGTTGCAACGTATGTAATGAGTCCTTGACTGGCCCTCCTCCTCCTCCTCCTCCTCCTCCTCCTCCTCCTCCTCCTCCTCTTGCTCTTCCTCCTCCTCCTCCTCCTTTTCCTTCTCCTCCTCCTTCTTCAGAGCCTTTAGAATTCCAGACTATGTCTTCAATCCTGGGGAGCAAAACCCACGACCTCTCCTCCTCATCATCCCGCCTCCTCCACCCTTTTCCTCCTCTTCGCCATTTTGTTTCTCCTTTTCTTCCTCCGCTTCCTTCTCCTCCTCCTCCCCCTCCTCCTCCTCCTCCTCCTCCTCCTCTTTCTCCTCCATCATTTGTCCTAAAAAACAACTCCTTCACTCCGAGACGTGTCGGTAATGGCTGGCCAGGCGCTTCACCGCTAATGATTCTGAAACTTAAGATTTGCAGGAGCTTCAGAGACGGAGGGCGGATGGTTTTTCAACATGTGGCCTTAACGCCGCAGGCATTTGTGTCAAAACATTACAGGAGCTTCACGGATTGAAGGCGGGTGGTTTTCAACATGTGGCTCTCGCCTTCGCACCGCGCACGTTCGCCCCGAAAATTTGCAGGAACTTCACGGATGGAGGGCGGCTGGTTTTCAAAATGCGTTTCTCGCCTTAATGCCGCGCGCATTCGTTGTAAAAGGTCGCAATCGCTTCACTCAGGGAAGGAGGTTCCTTTTCACAATGTGTTTCTCGCCTTAGTGCCGCACGCATTCGTTTAACGTGTCATTGATGGAGGGCGGTTCGTTTTCAAAATGTGGCTCTCGCCCTCGCGCCGGGCACCGTCGTTCTCAAAGGTCATAGCAGTTCCAGTGAGTCTTGTGGTTGACGTCCTGGGAATGGCGTCCAGGCGCGATTCACGATTGTCCAGAGGTAGCAGTCACGTTGGCTCGCGGTGTTGAAGTCCCAGGAACTGCATTCTAGCACGATTCAGGATCGCTGGGACGCAAGAGTAACGCAAGTTCGTGGCTTCGACGTTCCAGGAATGGTGCTTGGGCACGATTGAGGATTGTCAGACGGTAGATATCCAAGGGGCATTTCCCCCAGTGAAAAGAATCTCTTGTCGGGGCCAGTGAACATGGAACTTGGGGGGAGGGGTTACTGCAATATCGTCGATGCGTCTTGGGTTTGCACTGGTCCTCCTCCTCCTCCTCCTCCTCCTCCTCTTCCTCATCATCATCCTCCTCCTCCTGTCTTCCCTCTTCTCCTCCTCCTCCTCCTCCTCCTTCAGAGCCTTTCTAATTGCAGACTATGGCCTCATTCCGGGGAGCGAAACCCACGGCTTCTCCTCCTCCTCCTCCTCCTCGCCCTTTCCTCCTCCTTCTTTTCCACTTCGCCATCTCTTTTCTTCTTCTCCTCCTCCTCCTCCTCCTCCATCCCGTCTCCTTATAAACAGCTCCTTCACCCGGAGACGTGTTGGTAAGGGCTGGCCAAGCGTTTCACCTCCTCCTCCTCCTCATCATCATCATTGTCATCGTCATCGTCATCGTCATCGTCGTCATCATCATCATCATCATCATCATCAGCATCAGCATCAGCATCAGCATCGGCATCAGCATCAGCATCATCATCATCATCATCATCATCATCATCATCCTCATCATCCTCATCATCATCATCATCATCATCATCATCATCATCATCATCATCATCATCATCATCATCATCATCATCATCATCATCATCATCATCATCATCATCCCTCTTCTCCTCCTCCTCCTCCTCCTCCTCCTCACCAGCGCCGCCGGGACGGGCGCCCCGCAACGGGCACAGTGGGACCGAGGTACACGGTACCGAGGTCGGTTCGGGGAGGGCGCCCTGCTGTCTTCGGGCTGCTGGGTGTTTTTGTGCCTCCTGCTGGTGGTGGACGAGGTGGACGAGGAGGTGGACGAGGAGGTCGGAGAACCCGCGGGCCCCTGTATAAAAGACGCTGGCCCGCTCGCTGGCCAACTCGATGTTTCAGGAAAATTTGGCCCCCACGATTTTCAAACGCCTGGAGAAGTGGGCGACTCGCCCTCCTTCGAAGCGAGCACTGGCGGGATGCGACTGGCCCGCGATGAGAGACGCGTTGGCCGAGCTCCCTCCGGCATGGCAGGCATCGGTACTAAAGACTGTGGTGGGCGGGTGGACGACGGAGAGGAGGATGACTCAAACCGATGTGCCGTGCAAATTCGGGTGCACGGACGCTGTCGACTCTCAGTCCCATTATCTAATGTGCCCAGCACTCTGGGCTGCTGTATCTATTGTGTGGCACCAAGAGATACCAGTCGAAGGATTCCTGGACGCTCGACTTGGCCTGGCTCGCTCGTTGACCCCAGAGAGGAGAGGCATGCCACTGCAGCGACTGGTGCTAGTTTTTTAAATGCATAACTCAGTGAAGGGACTGGGAGAGGCAGTGGATGACTCAGAGATTCCAATTCATGCCCGTGCTGCCAGAGCGCAGTTGGTGCAACAGGTAGAGAGAGAGAGAGAGATGGACTAAGGCACACCTCATCCGAGCTACGTGCGAGGAGAGGGAGGCATGTTTTAACATGCCATGCCAGCCCACATTGGACGGGCACGCAATCGACCTTGGAAGCCGCAGTGGGTCTAAAAACCCTGTTTGGGGATACTGCACTCCGGCTATAATGTGCATCCTGCCCAGTACTTCGCCTCCGGGTTCTTGTCCAAGGCGTGCCTTTGCATGCACTTCGCTTTCGGCAGCGCCTGATCCCGGGGCTTTGCCCTCTCTTGGCCTTGACGTGAGGCCCCGCCTCCTTTCTTCCTTCCTCTGTTGATTAAAGCTGCGCGCGGCCCGCTTAGCTTCGACCGGAAGAGGCTCGCTCTCGACCCGCGGATCAAACAAGTGTTTTTGTGCATCCTGGGGGAGGATGCCCTCGAACTTTCTCCGGCTTGGCTGGCGCAGGGCTCAGGTTCTTGATGGGGGCAGGCAGGGACGCTCTTGTGCATCCCCGGGGACGCTCTTGTGCATTCCCGGGGGGGAGGATGCCCTCGAGCTGTTGTTCCGGTTTGGCTGGCCGGCCGAGGGTCTCCTCGCCCCAGAGATCCAACGTGTATTTTTCGGCCTCGAGGGGCCCTCGCCAGGCCCCGGGACCGTTAACAAACGACTCGGGATGAGAAGCCGGTCCCGGGGAATGGGTCGAGACTTCTGGGGGCCCCGCATTGAAAAAATCACGACATCGGATCTCTGGGGTCTTGATCGGGAGCCTCGAGACCCAGACCCCCGACGTCATGATTTTTTCACGACGTCGACCCCCCGAGGTCTCGACCCATTCCCCGGGACCGGTTTTTCGTCCTGAGTCGTTTTTTGACGGTCCCGAGGGCCGGTAAGGCCCCCCAGAGGCCAAAAATAGTGAAAAACCTCCCGTCGTGATTTTTTCATAACTCGAGGGGGTCTGGGGACGGGGCTCGATGCCAACGGGGGTCGGCCAGAGCGCCGGATCCTGCAGGCTCCTGGAGGGCCGGGGTCGCGCCCCGGCCCGGGTGCAGCGCGGAGGAAGGCGGCAGGGAAGCGGCCGGGCACGCTTCGGGGGGGGCCACGTGCGCACCCTGCTCCTGCCCCCCCCCCCGCCCCACGATGTCTGAGAGGGAGGGTGGGGGCCGCCTGCGAAGCC